CAGCTCTGGAGAGGAGAACTGTTCCTTGGGAATACCTGCCTGAGATCCTCGCAGTCCATGCCCTCTGGCTCTGCCAAGGGCGTCCCCACTAGGGTGCTCACGAACACTCTCTGAGAACCCGGCAGAAGGCCAGCTCCCTCTGCTCCCAGCAGGCTGCTTTGTAGCTGGGTATGTCTGTGGCTCATGCCGCTTCTCCTGTGCGGGGCAGGGTGTCCTTCGGTGCAGCAGTGCTCGGTGGAGATCGTCTCTCGCTTCCTGCTCGCCTCCATCCTGGAGGAGGTGGTGAGCCTGGTCACGGCCCTGGCAAGCGACACCGTTGTCAAGGTGTTCCAGCAGCACTGGTGAGTGTCGCGCTGGGGGGATCGGCCGTGGGGTTGGGAGAAGGGCCCAAGGAGCTTGGCTAGGAGGTAGGGTGGGGGGTCACTGGCAGGGATTGGGTGGGGTGGCTCCTGGCGGCCAACGCTCTGTGTGGTGCTCTCCCCTGCAGCTGCCCTCGGGGCGCCTCCTTCCTTCCATACAACCCCCATCAGAGCTCCAGTCCTCGGCCTGCCGCCATCAGACATTTCATCCTGCTGGGACGCAACTTCCATCAGTGGCGCTCCAGCACTGAGCAGGGTGAGTGCGGGCCGGGTGCAGGCATTCCGTGGGCCTGGGGGGGCAGCCAAGGGGGCCCCAAGCTAGCAGTGCTGGGAGAGGGCAGGCGCCCAGGCAGAAACTTCTTGTGCCCAGCTCCGTGCCCGCAAGGCTTTTGTTCTCAGACTCGCTCGTGGCCCGTCTGGCTTGTCTCCGGGTGGGACTCAGGCTTGGGCAGTACAGGCTCTACCCCAAGCAGTAGTTCCCCCTCTCCCAGTCCGCCTGAACACACCACGTGGCACATCCTCCAGGAGGAGCCATTGCTCTGTGACACGCTCCAGGCAATGCATGTGGCGCAGGCTGTGCCAGGCATCCCTCAGGCCAGCACCGGGCGGCTGCTCCAGCCCAGAGCAATGTGCGGTGTCTGAGCAGCGAGTAACTTTCCTGGGCCAGGGCCCCCCGAGGAGTTTTATCCTGTCTCTGCTTTGCTGGAATCTCGCAGCGCAGCAAGTGGGTGGTGCGCCGTACGGAGAAGGGAAGGCCAGGCCCATTCCTCCTCCTCACAGACAGGCCCTACAGAGACTGCAGGGAGAAACAAGCTGGCGCCCCTGGGGAACATGCTGTGCTGGTCCCAGACATGCTGCTCCTTCATCAGAGTGGTTAGCTGGCTTGGACGATGCCCGCCCTGGCTGGCCTCCCGTGGGGGTTCTGCCCTTAGTCCCCCGTCCCCTTGGGCAACACTTAATGCCCATGTGGGGCGAAGGGAGGGGAGTGAGGTCCCAGCGAGACCAGCTCGGAGCTGGTGCTCAGCAGAATGTGGAGAGCAGCGAGAGGAACTCCTCTAGCATCGGCTCTATCAGGACTTCATCCTCTGCTGAGAGAATCACGGGGGCCTGCTGCTCGGGGAGTGGGTGGGTGTTTGTGCGCCCAGGGTCCGGTCCTTCCCATTAAAATTCGGGCCTGGTCTCTGGCTGGCTGCAGAGCTCTGGGGCTCTGACTGTATCAGCACCCAGGGGTGCGGCAGCCAACACCGGTGGTCAGCTCATGCAGTCTGCAGGAAAGCTCTTCGGGAAGGTTTGACCCTCCCATCATGTGCCCAAGACCCTGACGGAGCCAGGGCAGATGAGGCCTGATGTTCCTGACTAGAAACCACATCTGCTTCCCGAGAAGGGCCAAGCCCAGTGCCCTACAGTGGCCTGAGCAGGTTTTGCCATCAGCTCCCCTCCAGCCCTCTGGGTGGGCTCCCCGCACAGGCTGGGCACTTTGCAGCTGGGCCCCTTCACTCTTGCAGGGCACTCTTCCAAGTCACGCCCACAAAATAAGCGCTGCCCATGAGTGTCCGCCAGCGTGGTGCTGCTTGTGGCAGATGTCCCACACAGGACTGCGCAGCGCCCGAAGCTGCCCTGGGTTCCCCATGGCGGGGGGTGCACATGCCCCTGGGCCTGGCACCTTGGCTGGGGAAAAATAAAATGGCTTCCCAGCGCCAGCCACTCGTGGCTCCAGAACGTGGCCACCTGCAGGAAATTGCGCAGGTCTGTGACCCGCTCGCATGGGGGATGAAATAGTGAGCAATGCTGATGTCTCGGCGATCATCACAGGCAGAGGCGCTAACCCCTTTGCGCTATGCAGACCCCTTTCCGCAGCAGCTGCGCAGGCGTCATGGCGTTGAGGTTTTCCTACGAGCTGAGAGTGACTTGGGAGAGGTGGCGCTGCACGGTACCAGCCTGACCCGAGCCCTGCTCCTGTCTTGCCTGAGCTCTCCGCCTTGGCCCTGCCTGGAGTCAGGGATGTGGCCATCTTTGGCTGGGGGTGCTCCCATTCGCCTGTGCTGTCATGGTCCCTTCCCGCCCATGTCCTGACTAGACCCCAGAGCAGGTAGCGCTGGCTGGGCTGGGTCCTGCCCAGGCTCGGGGAGCTGACATTGTCCTCACCAAGAGCAGGTGTCAGTAGGTTGAAAGTCTCTCGCTGGAGTGATGAGCTGGCGCTTGGGCCTCGCCCCGCCCAGTGGAAGGGCCAGCTGCAGGCTGTCTCCGGGCCTTTGTGCTGGAGTAGAAGCGAGTGGCTGTGCGAGTGCTCATGCCACGGCGGGGAACGCTGCACGTACTGCTGGTTAGGGCTAATCTGACCGGGTTCAGCCACGGGGCTGTCCTGATCCCAGGGGCTGCAGACACAGGAGACCTGCAGCCAGCTGAGGGGCTGGGCGCTGTGCTGCTGTGGTTTGCCAGTGTGCCCGCGTGGCTCTAACACTAGTGCCCTGAGCGCTCGCCCTCCCTGGGAGAGGCAGGGATCTGGGGTGGCTGTTGCCTAGGAAGTGGGGAAGCCAGGAATAGCTGCTTCCCAATGCTTTTCAGACTGAGGCAGGGCCTCGGGTGCAGCATGGCCAGGGCACTGCTCTGGCAGGGCACCCTGGGCTTGGCCTCATGGAGGGTCACCCTAGCATGGCGGGTAGGGCCAGCTCCCTTTCCCGGTGATGTCAGCACGTGGAGGGGGTGTGGCTAGGATGCCCTTAGCTCAGGACTGGATGGGAGGGAGGGGGCCTTGGCTCCACCCAGGACTTGGCATGGCAGTATCACAGGGGCCCTGGGCTGGGCCGCTCCATAGTGGCTGGTCGGCATCACGCTGCTTTGGGGACAGGGCTGGGGAGCACAAGGGGAGTGCTCCCTACAGCTTGGTGGCACTCAACGTTTGGTCGTTCCCTACCTCCCCATTGAAATGTACCCACCTCTGGTATCAGACATGGGCACAGAACCCTGCCGCCCAGGGTCTCAGTGCTGAGGGTGGGGCGTGGGCTGTTGCCGCTGCACGGCCCAGCCTGCTCGGAGCGAACACTGGCATGCGGGGTTGGGGATTAGGCTGGAATTTACGGTGCAGCTCTCCTGGCCAGCTGGGTCTTGGCAGGCTGCAGCGCTGATACGCTCCAGCTGGTTCCTGGCTAGTTGCTGTCATGGGTCTCCTTCCCGAGGACAGGGGGTCTGTGGCACCCAGGTTCCTGCCGACGCCTCCCTGCGGGGTACGGGCAGTGAGCAGCAGGAAGACACATGGTGGTTCTCTCTGGTCTCTTTCAGCCCACAAGGGGCTCCAGCACTTCGAGGCCATGGAGCTGAGCTTGGCGGAGAAGGGCTCCAACTCCAGCCCCTCGCTGGCCCCGCGGCAGAGATTCCTTCTCCTGGAGATCCTTGACAAGAAGGTGAGCACAAATCCAGCCTGGCCCTGCAGCCTCTCCGGGCAGGGGCTGTGGGTGAGGGCAGCCTGGCCTGGCTCCTCACAGGGCCCTGTGTAACAGTGGGGTGGGCAGTGCTGGGCAGCTGCCTCCGTCTGCCCTTGCGTGGCAAACCCCGTGGTCTTCCTGTGGCCTGGTGCTGCCACCCCCTCCAGCCGGGCATGCTGATAATAGTCTAGGTGGCTTGCCAGGGCCAGCCTGTGCTCCCAGGCGCTTTGCAGTCGGCAGCTGTGGGCCCTCGTGCTGCAGAGCAGGTGTGAACACCAGGACACATCACCGTGGTGATCAGCTGGGCGCTGAGGTGGTGCTGTGCTCCTCCCCCCGCCCCCCATCCTGTAGGGGAAGCCGGCTGGTGGTGCAGCAGCCTGGCCATGGCTCAGCGGGTGCGGGCCTCCCCCAGCAGAGCTCTCACCATCTCCCTTCCCCTCTAGCTGATGCTCTACACCTACAACTGGTCCCCGGACCTGGGCAGCTCCTTGAACAGCTCACTCACCCGCCTGCTGCAGTGGCAGAACGCCCGCTCCCACATCGTGCATTGCCTCCTCAGCCAGAAACTGGGGCTCTTCCACCACTACTGCTACCTGGACACACCCTGGCATGAGGACAGCAAGCAGGTAATGGCACTGCCAGCCCCCCCATGCTTTACTGCTGTAGCTCCCACCGGGGCCGCTCACAGATCACCACGAGCGTCTGTACAGCCACAGTTCTGTTCGGCAATTCTAACCCAGAGCCTGTCCGCAAACACAAGGCACATGCGGGCTCCCGACAGCCTTGGTTACTACCTGTCGGGTGACCCCAACACACTCCCAGTCCTGAATCCCCCCCGGAAATGTGCGCGCTGTTCTGTCCAGCCCTCTTCTGGGCCGTCCGGATAGGTCCCTTGTTCCTGCCCGGGAACAACATACAGCAGCTTGCCGCCTGCAGTGGAGCTACCCACACAGCTCACAGCATGGAACTAATTTTGATTACAGAATAAAACCAGTTTCTTTAGCAACAGAAGCTAGGACTTGAAGTCAGTACCAGTAATGAGGCATTAAAGTCAGAAGTGGTTACAAGAGAAATAAAGATAAAACAGATTCTAAACTTAAACTAGCCTTGGTTCAAGATGAAGTTCTTACCACAGGTTTTCAGTAGCAATGCTGACCAAGTTTCAGGTCAGGCTCTGCTCCGAAGATCTGCGGCTCTTTCTGCTCTCTTAAGTGAAAAGAGAGAGAGAACTTGGGGTGGGTTTGTCAGTCTCCTTTTGAAGTGCATTTTCCGGAGAGTGACCCCTAGATAAAGATCTTTTGGGCTCAGAGAAAGGAGACATGGAGTCTGGTGGGAAAGAGGTTTCATGCCGTTGTTTGCTAAGATGCAGAATCTGTTTGGCAAGGAAGCGGGTCAGGAACAAAGAATGGCTGCTTGAGAGGTGATGGCTAAGGCAACGTTTTAGTCACGGGTATTTTTAGTAAAAGTAATGGTCAGGTCACTGGCAGTAAACAAAAATTCCTGGCCTGTGACCCTTCCATGACTTGTACTAATATACCCCTACTAAATCTTGGGAGCTCGGGGGGGGACCCTGCTGCTGCTGGGGGTGGGGTTGGCAGGCTCCCTGCCTGGCTCCGCATGGCTCTCTGG